GTTATCGTTTATTTCATTTACGCACTATTGGTCACTGGGTTGTACTTGTTGCTATTTTTATCAACGTATACTCGTCGAACCCGTTTGAGTAGTTTGGTCAGTTATTTATACTGGGTGTTGGCTAGTATTTGTCAGATGAGGTCTGGACGCCGTGAGTGATACTTTACCCATGCTTAGTGATCTTGGGTGTGTGCCTTTTATATAACCCATGCTGTGTGAACTTGGGTGTGTTCTAGCTGTTTCCCCTGCTGTGTGATCTTGGGATTCAGGGATGTTTTGTAGCGGCGTTGAGAGCAAGACCTGGGGGCCGACAGTATAATTTTAATGTGTAAAATGCCACAGCTCAGTAAGTTTTTATACTTTACAATATTTTTGTTGTTAGCTTTAAAAAGCAATATTTTATGTAAAACTGTTAGCAATATAGCGAGAATGTATATATTTACGCTCTAATTCATTTACTTGTTAAACGGCAAAAATACATGTTTTCTTTTGTTATTTGTGTGGAAAATCTAGTATATTGAACAGATATGTGTCTTGAATATTTGATAAGAAAACCCTATGAAAATTGTAGGTGACCAAAATTGTATATTAGCTTTATTGGGACGGGAGGATTTATTTACGTGGTAAGGCTACTTGGATATGGTGGACCGGACGGGACACTATGGTGGACCACAGAGGCAATATGGTGGACCATGGACGTGGTGTGTGAAGTGTGAATTCGTCCCGTGATGATCATGATTGAACTTTTGGCCGTTTTCATGTTTATTGTACATATGTAGATAAATTGTTACTTTTTATAAATCTTGTTGTTTCTTGGTATACAGGAGGTCTTACAAAATATTATTTATTTTAGTTTGAAAATTCTGATTTAACGAATCCATCACAACTTGCACTGCATGAAAAGTCGGGTTTAATTTTACCTTAAATGTGATTTAAATGCTGCGATTATTTAATGTTTAAATGCATATTATAACATATTGTGGGATCGTAAATGTTAGAAAATAATTAGCATTTAATACGAGTTTAATGAAAAATTAAAAGAACAAATTTAATAAAGTTTGGAAAATTGTAAACTTACTAATACGTTCGGATTTTAGTCTGCCGTAAACAATTATTATACCTTTAATATACAAAACGTATAATTATTATTAAACATGGCCATAAAATTAAGTTTTACGGTCACATTAAATTTGTTCGTTTAATAAAATTTAACGTAGATCTTTACCTCATTATTTATTGTTAAATTCACACTTTACTTTATAATACTTCCAAAAATTAAGTTATATACGGAGAATTGTAAACTTACTAATACGTACAAATTTTATTCTTTCATAAACTAATATTAAATCTCTTGTATATGTGATGAAAACTTACGGATTAAACCTTCCCATATAATTAAGATTTAAGGTTGTATTTGATGAAATTTAACATTATTATATTATTGGATAATATTTTTATTTTACATTTATTCCATCAATGATTTGTATGGTTTACAATTGTGGGTTTTTTGGCAAGTATTTTACAATCTTACACAAATCCATTTCTCATTCAATTTTATTAGATGTTATCTCAATAGTGTACAAAAAATGAGTTCTAACAAAGTACAAAATATTTCAAATTTAAGCCTAAAAGTCAGAATTTAAAAATTTACAATCATGATTGTAGCTCAATTATAATGGAGTAAATTTCTACATACTAGTAGTAAGTAATATACTGAAGTAATTATAAATAATATAAGAATAGTATTGTATGTTAAATTCAAATCCGCAATAAATCAAAACACAACAGGTAAAAAATGTAGTCATTCTGGACTCCAAAAGACTGCAAAATCTGACTGAAACTGCCCCTATTAAAACTTCTGCATGGGTTGTAAATGGCTTTTCAATTTCCCCCAATAAATTATATCATACTTTGCATAAAAAGAATAAAAGTTGCCAATAAAAGTTGTCCATTCTTTTTACATGTACATTTTAATAAGACACACTAAGCCACTAACAGAGAAGCCTCACTCGCCCACAAGCAACAGCAAAAGGATCGGTCAGAGACACCACCTTTCTCTTGCTTGGGTATCAAGATCTGCAACTTACTGCCAGCAAAGCTCTTTTAGACCACCCTTATATTGTTTCCCAAGTATTTCCACAATAGATGTCCATGCACTAATTATCCAAGTTCAACTTGAAAAATACTTAATGTTGACTGTGAAAAATACAAGACCCCAAAAAACCCTTTATATCATTTGGTTATGTCAATTCAAATTAAGGAAAAAGTATCACAATTACACAAAACAATAGCAGCTTAAATTTGTTTACAATACATGTAGCTCATTTCTGTTCCAACTGCTAGGTTTATTGCTTGATGATTGTAATATAACATATCCTCATTAAATCAACGTTACATTGGAATGCAAAACATTTCAATAGTGATATTTTCAACTTGCTTTAAAATATCAAAAATGAGCTCTGAAACATGCACATATATAGAAGTCCTGTATAAACATATGTAAAAGTATATTTTTAACAATTTTTTAAGCCTTAATTACAATTCCATAACTCATAATTCATAAACTATCTTACTTCAAATGGAAGGAAACAAATTAATATTTTACTCTTGCAATTCTCATTACTCTTGCAATATCAATTGTAATATTTATTAAAATCACAATTCACCCCTTTTTTACTCAGAAATGTCTCTACCTCATTTGCCTATTCTATTTTTTACATCTATGACTCACTAAGCCACTGACAGAGAAGCCTCACTCGCCCACAAGCAACAGCAAAAGGATCGGTCAGAGACGCCACCTTTCTCTTACTTGGGTATCAAGATCTGCAACTTACTGCCAGCAAAGCTCTTTCAGACTACCCTTGATCATGATTGTCTTATTTTTTCCACAATAATGTCCATGCACTTATTATTTAAGTTAGACTTGTACATATATGTGATATATAAATCAACATTAAAATGTATGTGATTGCAGATTACACAACAAACCAATAAATGTTTAAACAATAAAATACATAACAGTTTTAATCTGTAATCAAGCATAAGAAAAAACTTTCACTGTCAAAAATACAACACTAGGTATATTTTTCTTATCTAACATTGAATTTGTGCAAAACAGTAGCAACTCAGATATTTCATCTCTAATAGCCCATCTCTGTTCAATTAATACATCCATAGGTTTGACTCTTTTAGATTCTTTATTTGTCCTAGTTCTTCTTATGCTCTGCCTTTTAGAGTGCTTTGATTTGAGAATGGCACTTTTGGTGTCCTGTTCTTTGAAGACATTCTCACATTCATCAGAACGCAACTTCAGCTTTCTAATTTCATAGATAGTATTATCTTTAGAATCATTTTTTGTACTATGAAGACGTAATCAATATTTAAAACTGCTTTTTCTTGCTTCTTCTCTTCATGCCAAGAAGTTTTCAGCTCTGGAGAAGCACACCTAGCTCCTAATTTCTACAATAAACATAAAAATAAATACTCATTTGCCTATATATACATATTATATATGTGCTTCAGGATTTATGCAATTGCATATATTAAATAGTAAAAACAAAATCTGAGTTGATTTTAAAATTATCATTTGACCTATTGATTTTAAAATTATCATTTGACCTAGAGGAAACACAGCTCAATTTTGCTTAATTAAAAATTTACAGATGACTACAAAAGATATGCCATTTTTTCAAATCTGGGTAATACAGATAATTATCTATAATTTCAGGCCAGCGAGCTACAGATTTCAAAGCGTGTAAATTTGGGACTAATGATTTTTTTTCACCATCTTTTTTTTTTGGAGCATTTTACCTGCTTGACCTTGAACATGTTGAGGTGCCGTTTTCTCTGCTCCTCCACACTAATTCTTTCATTTAGCAGCAAGATACTATGGATATGGTAAAAAGCTGTCATAAACAAAATATGAAAAATTAATAACAGGTGTGGCTCTCCATAGAAAGAATATACAAAAAAGGAGAAAAAATATACAAACAGGGTATACTTATGACTAACATGACTACGGCAAGAAGATAACATTTTACACAATGAAAAAAATTCTCTGTGTCATCTAGTTAAGTGAATTGCATAAAAAAAAAATATAATTATATGTATAGATCAAATTTATAGACGACAAAATATGATATGAAACATACATAATGGTACCGTAGTCCGAGCACATGGAATTTGAAGATTTACAAAGTTTAGGAAAATGCAAAGAATAGCATTTACAGCATTTATCATACTGTAAAACGAGAAAATTTGGCGCATACGTATTTTAGCGCAAACGCAATTGGGAATACATTGGCGCAAATAAATTTTAGCGCTTGCACTTGTCATTAAAATATATAAATGTGATCTGATTTTTTTTTATCCACGCCCATATTTGACTTTTTGGTTAGTCAAGCACGGAAACACAATGGCACTTCCGTATAAGTAAACTTTTGTCAACTTTACTGTGGTGTTGAAATCACATTGACGTGGCACAATGTCAATTTTATTAAATTTTTTTCAAAAAAAAGCAAATGTGGAGTATTTACGCATTTTATTCATATTAAAACAATGGATTTATTGAAAGAAAGTTACTTGGATACCTGTAAATGGTAATTATAACCATGTATTGTCTACAAGCTCAATCGCCATGCTTGGTTGCATTGTTTACCTCGAGGCGATAGATGATTGACACACTGAGAAGCCAAACTTTGGAGGTGCTAATGAAAAGTATTGGATTACAACTAATAATAGTTTAATTAAATTATGATTTGGCAGAACCTTCTCAATCATTCATGCTAGTGTGTATATAAAATTCAACAACCCTTCGGCATTACATAATCCTGCTTTCCGGTTTACATGTACATGTACTTATGTGCATGAATGCTTTGATCATACACAAAAAATGAAATTTAGAAATCCGTTAGCGCACAATAAATTTTAGCTTCAGGGGCTCTTGCACCAAAGGGGCTAAAATTAGTAGTGCACCAAATATTTTCGTTTTACAGTATTTCATCAAATTAGCTCAAAATCTTATTCAGAATGATAACATACTGGGGGGACAAGGAACTGAATGTTACGAGACTTGTATCCACCATAGGCTGCCATCTCCATCATGAAGCCCTTGACACACTTAAACATGAGCTCCACTCTCTTCTGACACCAGGGGATGGTCATCTCCTAAATCAGTAAAACATGAAAAGTTCAACAGACAATCCAAATTTTTTAACAACAGCACTACAATGGAGCATCCCCTCGCAAAGAGCATGTTTAGAAAGGAAGCATTCAAAGGTGCATTCAACATTGATCATCCTGATGCAAATTATGTCACTTCAGTTTCATAAAAAGGACAAACTAACCCACCCACAAACACAAGCGCATTAGTATATCCCTTCCAACTTCGTTGTGAGGGAATAAAAGAAAATTTCAGTACAGGGACTAACCTCTGTCATTTCATTTGAAAGAAGAAGAGGTATGGTCAGGGTGTTGATATCGTAACGGAAGCAGAGCTTGATAATGTTCCTGATACTGAGTATGACAGGGTGACGAGACGAAATGTCCGACGACTTGACGCTCTCTGAGGCTTTTTTCCCGTCGTCTGCCACCAGATGAAACACAACATGGACTTCAGATAAATTGGAATGTTTGGTCAAATTCCCAGAAGTCCTCCCTTTGCCCGAATGCTTAAATAAATAAATAATAACGTAAAGCATAAAAGGCTTTCATTATTTTTCTCCTGTTTTTCGAAAAAGCTGGTCTTTATTGGGACTTCAAAATATTTTGAAGGAAAAAATTTCTCATAGCAATTTTTTGAGGAATTAATTGGAGTATATATTGTAATAAGATACTTTCTTTGGTTGTCAATACAGAGATAAAGGTTGCAACATTGTAGAAAATTCAAATTTTAAAACTTTTATTAAAAAACCTTTTGTTGACCCTGACCTCACTAGATGTGCTGCTACTGCTCTTGAGGCTGGCTTTGTCTGCATCATCTGTATGTTTGTTTTGCTGGCGATACTCACTGGCTAGTGCAAGCTCCTGTTCTATTATTGCAAACTGTTGTTCGAGATCCGGAAAGTGGAAATCTGTTGACTGTTCACAAACTCTGGCAAATTCTGGAAAAAACAAGTTATCTCTCTTTTCATAATTCTAGCTTGATACTACAAGTGTTAGTTCATTTGTATTTCAATAATGTACATCCTTGCAATATTGTTTCAGTGAGTAAAAACAGAAAATCTTTTTTTTCTTCAGTGTCGTGCCAAAAGTGTTTCACATTATCATGACATAAATCTTGCTCAGTATGTTTCAGCAACACTCTTTCATTCTCAGGAGGCATGAATCTTCATTAGCCAGTGTCCAATTTGTGTCCCCTTGTCTACTCCAAGGGAGAGATGAGGGGATATGAATCAGACACTTGGCTAGCAAAGATGGATGACATATTCACTGGTACCTGTATAACTATTGTCAAGGCCGACTATTAATTTTAAATTATTTTTAGGAATCATGAAAATTTACATGGGGAAGATGAAATACCGTGTACTGTAAAATCACATTTTTTTTCATGGAGTCAAATTTTCAAGGTTTGAAGAAAAAATATTGGTTCGTGGTGATTTGATTTCGTGGTTGCGGAATGTATGTAGTAATGCATATGAAATTTTACATTTCGTGATGTTCATAAATGTTTGTGTCTCTACATACCTTGAAAACAACAAAAATTAAACTCCACAAAAATAAGTGATTTCACAGTATTAACTTTTAACCTCTTTTGAGCCCTGTATATGAATTCAGACGATTGTCCACCATCATTATCATTGCACAGAGATCATTGGAATACAGTGACATGGCCGTCTGTAATCTTTGTGGTTGTGGAATCAACATACCCCTGGAAAAATATCAAGAAACTTCTACAGCATTTGCATGGTTTGAGTATCTGCAATCTCGTTAACCAACTAAAATTCAGAGTAACCAAAAGTTGCACAAAATGATGACATTTTACACATTTTCAACTGTCACTGTCTCTATGATAATCAAAATTATAAATTTTCTAATAACTGATTCTAAAGAAATTTGTAGCATCACATTTATTTAATTTTCTTATAATCAGATACATGTAATACGTAATTTTAGAAAATAGTTCCATTTTTTTATAGTCATCAAAAAGAAGATTCCAGTTCCAGTTTCTTGCAGAAATATGACAATGAACATTAATTGCATATGAAAAGTCTTCAAATTTAAACACATAATCATAATTCGATACAAACATGCATATAATTAATGAGAGACACATTGACTTACCCTACAGTGTGTGCTTTGTGTCGGCAAAGGTCAAGGACATCTGTACATAGCAATCGTAAGTTGTGCGTCGTTTTCATCTGTGCACCTGTTAAGGCAAGATGGTGTTTTTCTTTGAATACAAAAAAATTTGAAGAATTGATGATCCAAAAAAATGTGCATGTTATGCAGGTGGTCACAGGTGCTGCATTATATAATTCAGCAATTTGTACAAACCTTTAAAGAATGATTACATTTCATTGTAAACAAAATTTAAGGCAGTTTGATTCGACATAATTTCCCCAAACCATCTACTGGGTTGTTTTATTTTATAATTCCCTGACACAATAAAATTCTCATTCCTTTTAAATCATTCTTGGCTTGGAGTGATTATTTTTGGACCTCATACCAAGGTGAATTGTGAAGCTCTCTTCCATTCTGATAGAGTTTGCTCCCCTTTCATTCTCTGCTGCTTCGGGAAGACTACTGCTAAGGGCCCGCACTCTGTTCCTAGAAAAGAAATAAAAAAATCAATAGAATACCTCTTTCTTAAATTTGAACACTGAACATACTATGTTTCAGGGCATAATGGAAAATATTCATCTGTAAGGTTCATCACAGACAGGAATGTGACAGAAATGGCCTGTAAACTTGGCAATATTATAAAGGAATAGTCCTATATCTCAGTTAGAGTTACCTCTCTTATTAGAAGGTCAGTGTACCTTAATATTTTTTTTACTAATTTTCCATTAAGGATTGAATTGTATTGATTTTTTAAATGAACTTCTTTTTTTTAAATTTGCACTATATACATTTGAGCTTTAATTGGCATCTTGAACTCTGACATCTTGAATACCATGGATATGTCAATTTAGTGATTTGAAAGACCTGTAACCCTCATTCTTTTACCACTTTATATCTCTGCTATCCTCAATACTCGGATATCTGGAAGTCATTTCTTGGTCCTACTGAGTTCAAGATAACACAGTTTGACAGTAATCAGTATACAAATAGAATCATTTTCTGCATCAAGTTACCCTCAACATAGATCACTGCAAATATGATCATTTATTTTCGGCATTTCCAATTTAAAATATAAATAGCTACTTCATGACATCCCTCGATCATGCTATCTACCATCATTAGGCGTGTCAGGCGATCGTGACCTCTGACGGGAAACGTCCCATGACTTCCCCCCAAAAACTCTCTGACATGAACACCAGAAGTACTGAGGGATGTAATAAAAGTAATAGCTACATGGAAGCAGGAAAACGTTTTGAACAAGGGGAAGTTAACATACTCTTGGGTTTTCCTGACCACTTGACCTAGATTTCAAAAGGGGATATGCTAATATAAACATATTCGTATTATCTTTTTGACGGCACGATTTTATACAAGGTTTTTGTAAAGATGCACATTTTCCTGGAAAATCTGAAATATCTATTTTAAAAATGCACACATCAAATTTCCAGCCATGCACTTTGGGCAATTAACCTTATTCTTATTATGTCTCATGAGGAAATAAGGATATTTTCATAGCATTTTAGACACTTCAACTTTTCTTCAGAAAGTAGGCCACCTAGTTTTTTGGCTTCATACATGCAAATTTGTTTTTAAAATTGTACATACAATACAGAATTAATTAAAAAAAATAATTAATGGTTCAAGAATAAAAATCAGAACTAATACTTAAGACAGTTTCAAAACTTTTTGATGTCTTTTAATTTTTTGGGCGCAATAAAGCTAAAACCATACCTTCTTTTTGTAGATTACTGATTCGAAAAAAGCTAATCAAAAACGCCCTAAAATATATGTCGCCGTCAAGGAGTAATATGAAAATTGAGCACAAGATTTCGATCGAAACGTTGTTACTGTAAATATTGGCGGCAAAGAAACGGATTGTGTAGGTAGTAATTTTTACGGGAATTTTAAAAATTCTTGTTTTATTTTATTTTGATTGTTGATAACAAACACATACATTTTCAATATTTCAAAGAGGTCTTAACAATACAACCGTTTTTAAAGGGGAATTTAATACAAAAAGGGTGTGAAAGGGAAATCCGTATTGGGACTAGTCTTCGCCTCCCCCAAAAATTTCCATTTCACCCCCTGGGGGCTCCTTTAGGTCACTTCTGACTGTGTATCTTAAAAACTTTTTTCATATTAGTCCTCGTGTTTAGTTCGGGGAACTGGGGCCTTTCAAAAAACGCCTACTGTTCATTGATCCACTTTTATCATGAACTTCAACATCCCCATGATTTAAGGGAAAAAATGCTGTCCCCCCTAAGTTTTTCCCTGGATATTTTTTCCTTTAATGTGTGAAATAACTTTATTTCACAGATTTTGCATGCCCATTGTATTTTATTAAAAGGATGTTAAAGTCAATGTTGAATTAATTACACGGTTTTTTAGGGTCATTGTTATAAAATTACACTGGGAATGAAAAAAAAAAAAATGTATGACTTATGCGTATAAATAAAAATATGAAGATTTTTGTTTTTTTAAAGTATTAATTTTAAACTAAATGTTTTAAACGGAAAACCCCCGGAAGGGAGTTTTTCCATAATAAAGATATATATCAAACACAAATTATGAATTTTTTCTAACAGTGACCTTAACTTCTCCAAAAGACCTTGGGGGGTTATGACACATCCTTGGGTCATGGGTAGTTATTGTGTGAAATGAGAACCTACCCAAATTTATCCATAAAAAACATGTATCAAACATGAATTTTGGGGAAAATTTTTTTTCCAGTGACCTTGAACTTCTCCAAATGACCTTAGGTCAAGGTCATGGCACACCCTTGGAAAACCAACTTTTTAAAACCTTTTCCCAAATTTATCCATAAGAAAGAAAATGGACCGGACACGAATTATGAAATTTTTTTTTCCAGTGACCTTGAACTTCCACACATGACCTTGGGTCAAAAGGGCATGACACACCCTTGGGTCATGGGCAATCTTAGTGTGGAGTAGTAGATTCTAATGTCCCTCTGAAAAATATGGACCGGAAGATTTCACCCAAAAGACGGACAAAAGACAGACAAGGTGATTCCTATATACTCCCCCCCCCCCAACCTTTGCAGGGGGATAAAAAGTAATCATAATTGGAAAAGAAAAATCTTGATTACAACAGGGTTTTCACCGGGATCATCCACTATGAAACATTTATATTTAAAAGGGCGGGTCATCCTGGTTTTCCATTTATGAAAAAGCTCTTGTTTTCAGTTACTGTGTCTAATCAACGATTTTCAAAAAAAGAGTAAACTGTCCTTTTGAATCGGAAAGCCCATTTAAAAAAAATCACATTTGTATCAAAAAAAAAACTCAAATCAAATCAATAAAATACGGAAAAATTTCACTAGATCTAATGCGTTACATATTTACATCAATGGGTCTTTATGAGGGATAAAACACAAAAAAAAACAAAGGGGGGAACAAATTTATCAAGTAAAAAAAGTTTAGGCCTTCATTTGTCTGTTTAGCAAAAGGAAAATATTATACCCCAAAAGTAATTTTACGTTTTTTCATTTTCAAGGAAATTTCTATTTTTAAATAATTGCAACTTCACCATTCTTCAAAATCGAAAATCTATATGCAGATTTATGTATTTTTAGTAAATTACCTTTTGTGCCAAGTTATATTGAAATGACCAAAACTGTAGAAGAAGTAGCATTTTTTAATGTTTTTCACAGAAATTTCTATTTTAAAACCAGGCAACACTGTTCAACGAAATCAAAAACCGATAACAGAATTATGTATCTATGGGGAATTTTTACTTTTTCCTTATATTAAAATCAGACCAAAACTATAGGAGGAGTAGCATTTTGAACAAAAGGCCCATGGGCCACATCGCTCCCCCTGAAAATGTTTTACCATTCTGTTCTTTTCTAGATTTTTCCCTTGTAATACATACTTTTTTACCACACCCCGGGACCATCATAGTTTAGACAATTTGAAAAATTTCACCATCCCAGGATGCTTCCACAAGTTTCAGCTTTTCTTTGGGGCCCGTGGTTCTTGAGAAAAATTTTTAAAGACTTTTCCTAAATATTTCTTTGTAATACTTTGATTTCCCATTGTGGCCCCCCCTCCCCCTGGGGGGTCATGATTTGATTTATTTAGAATATACACTACCTGAGGATATTTTCACAAAAGTTTCAGCTTTTCTGGCCCAGTGGTTCTTGAGAAGAAGATTTGCAATGACTTTTCCTTTATATTTCTATGTAATACTTTGTTTTCCCCATTGTGGCCGCGCCCTCCCCTTTGGGTCATGATTTGAACAATTTAGAATCTACACTGTCCCAGGATGCTTCCGAATAAGTTTCAGCTTTTCTGACCCAGTGGTTCTTGAAAAGAAGCTTTAAAGATTTTACCTATATATTTCTTTGAAAATTTATTCCATTGTGGCCCCCCCCAAAAGGGGGGTCATGATTTGAACAAAAAATTTTACACTACCCCGGGATTTCCACATAAATTTCAGCTTTTCTGGCCCAGTGGTTCTTGAGAAGAAGCTTTTTTTTACCTATATATTTCTTTGTAAAATTTATTCCATTGTGGCCCCGCCCAACCCCCGGGGGTCATGTTTGAACAACTTAGAATTTACATACCCAGGATGCTTCCACAAAACCTTTTTAGTGGTTTTTGAGAAAAAATTTTCAAAGATTTCTCCTATATATTTCTATGTAAAACTTTGTTTCCCCCATTGGGCCCCGCCCAACCCCCCGGGGGCATGTTTTGAACAATTTAGAATCTACGCTACCCCAGGATGCTTCCATATAAGTTTCACTTTTCTGGCCCGTGGTTCTTGAGAAGAAGATTTTCAAAGATTTCTCCAATTAATCTGTGTTAAACTTTGATTCTCCATTGTGGTCCCCCCAACCCCCCGGGGGGTCATGTTTTGAACAATTTAGAACTACACTATCCCAGGATGCTTCCACATAAGTTTCAGCTTTCCTTGCTTAGTGGTTCCTGAGAAGAAGATTTTAATGACCCCACCCTATTTTTGTCTTTTCTTAATTATCTCCCCCGTGAAGGGACTTAGCCCTTCTTTTGCACTTTCAAAAGAAAGTTCGGGTATATTGGTTTTACTCATGTCCTCCTCCCCCCCTCCGTCTGTCACACTTTCTTCCCAAACCCTCCTTTTTTCAATAGCTTAATCATCCTTTGGGAGAGGTTTTTCA